GAATATCATGATGAAAGAACCAGGGCGGCTACTTCACTGACCCGTTTGTGGTCCAGCTGGGAGTTGTGCAACAGAACAGGACTCATGTTGGTATAAAGTTTCACCATCACACCAATGTCGCTAAAGCAGACGAGGAAAAAACAAAACAAAACAGTAAACATAAACCAACAAGATTTTTAGTTTTCATACATTAAAGCATTTAATTTTCTCACTGTATTTCTGTAATGGTGGCTGTGTAGATGGCACCGAACTCCAGCTGCTGATCTTGCTGCAAAATAAAACGAAATGCACAAAAACGATCATACACAAAAAATATGAATGCACAGAACTGTGCAAAGTCTTATGTCATCCCTCAGTCCTTTGAACTTTGCTTCCATGTAGCTTTTTGAGACCACTTGAAAAGATTACATAAAAAGTCTTTGGAAGCGAAATGATCAAATGGTTTAAAACTTTCGCACATTACCGAGTATCTGAATCAGAATACTTTATTAATCCTTGCAGGAACTTAGTTATTACAGCTGTCCAAAAAATAATTAGAGAATAAAAGATGAACATATAAACAATATAAAATAGAAATGTAAACAAAAAGTTAAACAGTAAGGTGATATAAGAAGAGATGATAAGGGATACTGCATGTTTGAGTAAAGTACATAAACTAAACTGCACAGATAATGAGACAGATGACGTAAGGTTTCACATGTTTAGGGATGAGTTACAAATTTGATTGCCACTGGTAGGAAATGACCTCCTGTGGCACTCAGTGGTGCATTTTAGTGAAAGGAGTCTTGCACTGAATTTCCTTCTGTAACTCATAATATAGAATATAGTTTGAGCTGTTGGATGAATTTACAGTGTATCACTCAAAAAGTTTTGATGTGATAAAAGGATGAGTCCAAACAGCAGAGGACTCACATCATCTTTGCAGATTTCTCTGATGAACTCCTGAGCTTCATTCATCGCTCCAGGAGTTGGAGCAAACACAGAAAACGTCTCCTCGTCCACCTGACTTATTGTAACACCTTGAGAAAAAATAAATAAAAGAAAATATGTATTAGGTTTTAAATCAAAAACACACCCTAAAAGTCATAAATGTGGATTTTTATAACCAGAATCGGACCTGTTTGAGCTTGAATCCTTCGTAGGTTGTATCCTCCCGGACCAACAAATCGAGCTCTTCTAGAAACAGGAACTCTGATATTTTCTAAACCAGAAAACATTTCACATTACAACGCAACTTCTTCAACACAAATAAATATTGTGTAACAATAAAAACCTACCGACGATAGGCCCGTTCTCTTTTCTGTGCTCTCTGGGTTTCGATATACATTTGTTCATAATGCCCAAGATTTCCTTCTTTGCCACTAAAATACAAAAATATATTTTAAAAAAGTGTTTAAGTTCATTCATTGTGTGGATTTGTTTGGGGATTACCCTACCTGTGGCCTGCTGGATCGCCTCCATCACCACTTTGAGAGGTAAACCTGGTATCTTCACATCAGCCTGGAAGCAAAACAAACAAAAATAAATAAATAAAATCTTGAGATACAATTGATTTACTCTTAGCAGTGGTTTGGTACCAAATGTCACTGAAAGAAAACTGCCTTTTCAAACAGAGATAGACTTTTTATTCTGAATCGATGGCCACCAAACAAAAAACTTGTAAAAAATGTCTCTCAGCCGGCCTTGGAAACCTCCTGGAAGAGATGGCACTGGAAAAGGATGTCTGGGCCATCCTGTTTAAGCCTTTGTGCTGACTCCGGAACAAGCAGAATATGATGATGGATGGACGGCAAAGTGTGTTTATTTTTAATTAATCAGTTCTTTTTATCTGCAAACAGCCTGAAAACTGTACCTGTAAAGCAGTGATCCCCTTGTTTGTTCCTGCCAATTTGAAGTCCATGTCTCCAAGATAATCCTCTATTCCCTGTTCAGAAAACAATCAGAGGACAATTCTCAACATCTAAGATATCAAATCTTAATATTAAGTTGCATTTTTAGGATCTTATTTCCTACATCATGGATGGGCAACTGGTGGCCTGCGGGCTGCATGTGGCCCATGGGTGGCTTCCATCTGGCCCGCCAATAGAGTAATTACTGGTTAGCTTGTCATTCATATATGTCTGTGTGTATATAT